GCAAATCCTCTGTCAAATATACCCTTAAAGCGAACCATGAGGTTGAGGCCAAGCGATGGTTCTGGGCTCTCAATAACTCGATCCAGTGGTCCAAGGATCAGGCTAAGGAGGAAGAGAAGCGGGCAGCTCGAGGCGCGGAGCTCTTGAGGCAGGCTAAAGCTGACCCAAGTACACTTTCTCTCCAGGACTCTCACAGCGAGAACACCAGCGTCACAGATCTACGCAGGAATAGCTCTCAACTTCCAAGCAGATCTCTGTCCAAGATATCTTCTGTTGACCAAAGACCAAACCATGCTAGCCCTGGTACAACTGGTAGCTTTGAGGAAGATGAATTTGTTGATGTTGAGACTGATGCAGGCACCTCACGGGCACCCAGGAATGGAGCGCCAACGCATAACGATATGGATGACGACGACGATTATGGCGACGATATGAGTATTCATGAAGAACCCACAGCTACTAAGGATGCACTCAACATTACTGCTCAATCAGCTAAGCTCCAGCTCGAAACAATGTCTCACGTTCACCAAGCCCTTCTCAACGAGCTAAACCAGAACCCGAACACACCTCTCTCTGACAACAGCGTGACGCAGGCTCTGGGAACATACGATGCCGCCATTCGAAGCTTATCAACTCTGGTGGCCGACTTACTGCGCATTTCCAAGGACCGTGACGCCTACTGGCAATACCGCCTTGACCGCGAGGCTAATATGAGACGTATGTGGGAGGAAAGCATGGCGCAAGTGGCCCGCGAGCAAGAGGTTCTGGAGGCTCGCGTTGGAGAGGCAGAGAAGAGACGCAAGGCCACAAAGAGGGCGCTAAGAGAGGTGATTGAAAGTGGGATTCCCGTCGGTGTAGAAGAGGCCATGCCCCGTATTGAGGACACATTTGCCGAGAAGGAATTGAGCGACGACAGAGAGAAGGAGGATGAAGAAGGAAAGTTCGAAGATGCGGCCACCAAACTGTCACCAGTGCCGCCTAAATCGCCTACGATGAAGAGCGTCCGAAGGAAACCCACAATCATCGTGGATTTGTCCGAGAGTGAATCTGAAGAAGAGGACGAGTTCTTCGACGCTGTGGATGCTGGCCAGGTTGAGGTGTCTGAACTGCCCGCGGAGGAGGTCAAGCCAAAGTCTCAGGATATTGTCGTTTCTGGTGGTCTAGATATCAGCTCCTCTTTCAAGGGCTACGAGAATGGCATTCGAACGAGGCTCAAGATGGACGCCGATGACCGTCCTAAGATTTCTCTTTGGGTACGCTTATTACACATACGTGGCATACGAACAATACTAATATGGAGTAGGGTATTCTGAAGTCGATGATTGGCAAGGATATGACCAAAATGACTCTGCCTGTTTCTTTCAACGAGCCAACTTCACTCCTCTACCGTGCTGGAGAGGATATGGAGTATGCCGATTTGCTTGACCTGGCTGCTGACCGAGCCGACTCGATCGAACGACTTATCTACGTGGCTGCTTTTGCTGCTAGTGAGTACGCTTCAACTATCGGTCGTGTGGCCAAGCCTTTCAACCCCCTGTTGGGAGAGACCTTTGAGTATGTGCGGCCCGACAAGAACTACCGCTTCTTTATCGAGCAAGTCAGTCATCACCCTCCAGTCGGCGCTGCGTACGCAGAGTCACCCAAGTGGTCGTATTGGGGTGAATCGGCTGTGAAGTCGAAGTTCTATGGTAAATCCTTCGACATCAACCCGCTAGGTACATGGTTCCTCAAGCTTCGGCCCACCGCTGGAGGAAAGGAGGAACTTTACACATGGAAGAAGGTTACCTCGTCTGTCATTGGTATCATCACTGGAAACCCAACCGTCGACAACTATGGTGTCATGGAGATCAAGAACTGGACAACGGGCGAGGTGGCTCACGTTGAGTTCAAACCACGTGGCTGGAAGGCATCGAGCGCATATCAAGTATCTGGAAAGGTTACTGATGCAACTGGAAAGGTTCGCGTCAGTCTTGGTGGTCGCTGGAACTCCAAGCTGTACGCTCGCCTAACCCCAGGCTACGAAGCAGCCGTGGATGAACCTAAGGAGAGTGGCGGTGACATGGCCCACGGTGGTCTTACAGACCCCAACCGTGCGTATCTCATCTGGAAGGCCAACGAGCGACCAACTGGCATTCCTTTCAACTTGACGCCATTCGTCTTGACTTTCAACCATATCGATGACAAGCTCCGACCATGGCTTCCACCTACTGACTCTCGCCTTCGACCTGATCAGCGGGCTATGGAGGATGGAGAGTACGATTTTGCTGCTGATGAGAAGAATCGTCTGGAGAATGCTCAACGAGCGCGCCGGCGTCTCCGAGAAGAGCGTGGCGAGGAGTTTGTGCCAGCGTGGTTCCGAAAGGCGCGCTGCGAGATCACAGGGGAGGAGTATTGGCGATTCACTGGCAAGTACTGGGAGCGACGCGAGAAGGCCGGTCCAAACGGTGATCCCCAAGTTGCGTGGGAGGGGTTGGAACCAATTTATGAAGACCATGTGGATGAGGATACGATTCGGTGATATATTTATTGATCATTAAAGTTGTTAATTATACAAAAAGAGAGAGGGTTAAGATGTGAGAAACGCAGCTACTACGATGGAAGGGAAGTTGTTTAGATATAGTAGGTAGAGTTCTGGAAGCTTATAGCACAAGTTGCAAACGCATCTCGCTATTGAAATTAGCATTGATTGAGCTAAATAGGTACCGTTATAATTCCCGGAACGGAGAATAACTGCGCTCAGCCGGTCTCTAAGTGGCCGATAACGAGGTAGATTCGGCCCCACGGCCGGCAGAGACTCCGAACCTCGGTAAAAAATCATAACCTTAAACTCATCAGGGGCAGGTTACGTAGGGAGCTCGTAGTGAGGCAGCACATGAAAGCTCGGCCTCTAAATACATCATCTTTCTCCTTAAAAGATAGTGTCTATACTATTTACTATTCCTGAGTATCCACAACTTCTTTCCAGCATCATCAACAGTAGCACAGCGCATTCAATTGGAGCGGAATAGCAAAATGACAGTCATTGAGGATAACGTTAGACCGACTCTACTACGACCGCCAGAGCACGATGAGAGCAAGTCTCTGATTGAGAATGTATTGGACGTCACAGAGATCAAGGTTCTAGGCCCTGTAAGTTGTGCCTCTCTCTCATCACTCAGTCACGTCAAGGATACGGATATATCAATGAATGATATGTGATACTACCTCATGTAGTCTGACGCGTGGAGTACACCTATATCCCTGCTTCTATCTCATTGTATGGTATCAATACAAATAATTAGCGTTGCCTGACTGCTCACAGGATATCTTTACAAACACGCAACCTCAATGGCATCCTCCTGGTGCTCGTGGTATCTATGGAGGTGCTGTCATCGCACAATGTCTTGCTGCCGCGCAAAAGACAGTCCCAGAGACGTTCCTAGTCCACTCATGCCACTGCTACTTCCTCCTCGCGGGCAACTCTGAGATACCCATTCTCTACCATGTTGAGCGTGTACGCGACGGACGCTCGTACTCGACACGCACGGTCCAAGCGCGGCAAAAGGGCGCGTGCATCTTTACCACCACCATCAGTTTCGTGCGCGAGACACCTCCTGAGAAGAAGCGACGGGAGGTCAGCCATGCGGCAAGCCTGCCAAAGGATGTGAGCCCACCGGCAGATGACTGGGATGGTGAGCCAGAGTGGGCAAGGACTGGACCGTTTCAGAGCCACAGAATTGAAGTATTGGGCGCCCAGGACCCAAACTGCAAGCCACAGGACCGCAAGAGCAGACAGTGGATGCGCTCGCGACAAAAGATCTCAGCTGGAGGTGGCCACCAAGCACACCTCAACGCCTTGGCCTACATGTCAGACAGCTACTTCATCGGCACAGTCTCCCGCCTCCACGGACTATGGCGCTTCCCATTCTCGCCAGAAGAGGTACCCTCGCTGGATGAGAAGACCCAAGAGCAGGTCAAGAGCCTGTGCGAATTTGAGGGCATGGGCAGTAGCGTGGAGGACTGGAAGGGGCGGGCACAGGTGGGAATGCTCGTGAGTCTGGATCACAGCATCTACTTCCACGAGCCAATGGCAGTCAAGGCGGATGAGTGGATGTTTACGGAGATGGAGAGTCCGTGGGCGGGAGATGGCAGGGGTGTTGTTACACAGAAGATATTTGGTAAGGATGGGGCGTTGCTGGCGACGTGTTTCCAAGAGGTGAGTCTTGTCTGTGATCTGATTGATATGAGCGTTGTGCTAACCATGTTCAGGGCGTTGTTCGACTTAAGCAAGATGGTGGAGAGAAGGGTGCGAAGCTGTGATCTGTCTTTGAGCCACGAGCCGTGTTTGTTCGTTTCATTTGTTGACTGATACCATACATAATAATTACTACCTTTGACAACTACGTCACACTTGAACCCTTTTGATGGCTTTCTCATTCACTTTTCAGGCACTGAACAGTTGGTTAATATGTTGTTCATCGTTCGCCTACTTTGCCCTTCAAGCATGGACTGTTCATTGGCTATGTTCAGAGTATGTGTACACTTGGTCTATGGTCAAAGCGTTATTCAACATATCATGTATAGGAAGTTTCCTCAGACTCATTGGCTACAGTATTGTGATAGCTCCCAGCACTGCCCGTGACTCTGTGCATTCAATCAAGTGCATACCCTTCGGCAACACGCGTCAATGATGCCCTCAAGTTGTCTCTTGTCACTTGGAGAACAAGCATGTGTTCAGCCAGAGTCCGAATACGGGTTATGACTGCTATTGCCTCGAAGATTTCGGTATAAATATGTGACCTCTGCTCTATCCAGACTTTTCTTCTTTCCTCATTATTCTCAACTTTCGATTACAATCACCAACTTACTGTTCCAAACATCCAAATCATAATCTTTGATCTTGATACCTACTATGCAAACATTCCAACACTCCAACACTCCAACACACATACAGCCATTCGAGGCAAGCCTTGATTCCTTTTCCTTCTTTTTCAACTTTCCCTACAGATCATACTAACAAGATGTGCCAAGCCCGCTATCTTCTCTCCGCTCCTTGTGGCCACTCCAAGCACGAGGAGACATGGATATGCAAGCGGGCCAAGTCCTTCAGCGGTATTCTCAACAAGCTCATCCTCCGGAAGAAGTGCGAGCCAGTCAGTATCATCGCAATCGTCATTGACTGGTGTCCTGCTTGCAAGGTGGCCTTCGAGAGAATCGTCGACACTATCGGAGCCCACCCTGTGACATACAACAACTTCTGGGACCCGAGGCTGATGGACCGGTATTGGTCCATCAAGTCTGGAAACCAAAGAGTCCGAGAAGTTGATCCAGAGGAGATAGGCCCCGTTGCTTTTAAAAGCTACGACAAGATCCCGTACCACAAGGTCAGGACGGGGCCCAACACAGCAAAGAGAAAGGAGGACAGCTGGGAGTTACGCGCTCTACAGGCCGAAGTACGCCGACTGAAGCCTGTCTGCGTGTGGATAGAAGACTATGAACACGAACCCGTCGAGACACTAGAGGATCAGTTGAACCTTTGCAAAGTCTCCTTGGTTGAAACGAAGAAAAAGGCGTACAACCACGGACTCGTCCAGTAAGTTCTTCCATCCATAACTTCTGTCACTTCGTTTGTCACCATGAACTACAACTGATTGATATACTGGTCAAGATCTGAACCATTCCAATATAATGCACACTCTGTGGGGAGAAGTTTAGACTTCTCTCTAGCAAGAACTCACACGCAAAGTCACACACAGAGTACCAATGCCTCAGGAAATTGTGCTACAAGAGAGCCAATAATGGAAGACATGTCTGTGCCTGTTTTGCACACCAGCCGCTTCATCTTGGCCACAATCAAACCACCGACAAGACAGAACAACAAGAAGAGAAACACATCACAGCACAAAAACGACAAAACTCAACCCTACAATGATGAACATGATTCTTCAGCCATTGCTCTGTCTCTTGCTTTCTGTGACATCAATTTAATGTCTCTCGATCCCATTATTACAGTGAAGACGAATCATATGTTCTTAATCATCTTCAAGGGCTCATGAAACATGATCCTTCAGGCTTTAAGTGACTCGTAAGTTCCAAAACTGTTCAGCAATCCATAAAAGGATGGAACATTCCCGCCCGATTTGAACGGCATCCAATGTAGCGTGGCATTAAATCCTTCAAGGGCCGCTAAAACTGCCAAACCCCGGAACTTCCCCAGGGGCCGCCTAGGGCTCCAGTCGTTGGATTGGATCTCCACAAGGCAGACTCGGGCGTTTTAGTGGCGTAGGCACTGCCTACTTCCCTTAACCGCTTGGGCAAGTCTTGGCACTCTCCAGCTCATCAAAGGACAAAAGTTCAGCTCCTCCTCGAAATTGTAATTAATTGTCTTCTTCTTCTTCCTTTTTAAACTACCGACGCTAAATAAATACCTTGGAATTAAGCTTATTCCTTGGTCATTGTTTCATAAATTCAAATCTTTTCTCTACTAATATTTTTCATCGTATAAAGTCTATATTTTTCTTCGTTTATTGTTTCTTGTTATACCTACTCCCCTGAGTTGTTGCAGATCGACGCGTGCTAGAGTTTCATCGGCACGCCGGTTCTCAACTCTATTCAGCAGCCTCCCAATTGACTTTAGCACAATGCGAACCTTTACGCTTCTGACGTCTCTCGCCGTTGGAGTTTCTGCTGGCACTGTCTCTGCTCCAATCGTAAAGCAAAGATTCCATCATGAATCGTCTCTTCACAAACGCGACACTCTCAGTCTCGCTGCTCTGAATAATATCACAGGGGGTGGATATTACGCTGAGTTTCAAGTCGGTACCCCAGGTCAAAACATCAGCTTTCAGCTTGACACTGGTAGCAGTGATACCTGGCTCAACTCAGATGAGACCGATCTCTGCAATAGTAGGACCAAGCAAGAGACTATTGGCCCTTGTATGACTACATGTAAGTTATTCTCCCATCTCAGCCAGCAAGACTCCAACCTTCTGTAGTCAAACCTGACAAGAGTCGTACCTATGAATTGGTCGACCGTGATGGATTCGACATCACCTATCTTGATACGCGCTCCATTAGTGGTGATTACTTCAACGATACCGTCACCATCGATGGAAAAAGCATCAAGCAGCAGAGACTAGGTCTCGCTTCGGAATCTGTTCGTCCAACGGGCCTGATGGGCTTGGGCTTCTCTGCAAATGTCGTCGCCAACGGGACATACCCAACCATTGTCGAGAATATGGTGTCTCAGGGCCTGATCGACCGAGCTGCCTTCAGTCTCTGGCTGGTAAGTCAACAAGAAACAACAATTAACCCCTGACTAATCAAACCGGTAGAACGACCTCAGTGCTGAGCAAGGAACTATCCTCTTCGGCGGTCTCGACACTAAAAGGTTCGTCGGCAAGCTTGCAACTCTGCCCTTGCTGCCTGACCCTTCTACTCTCAACCTCACTCACTTCACCGTCGCCTTTGAAGGCTTCGAGGTCAAGACACCAAAGGGCCAGGAGATCAAGGTAGACAGTCTCAATAAAGACACCACCGCCATTCTCGACTCTGGTGCCACCGTCTGCCTCTTGCCCGAAGCTCAAGTAGAGCCCATCTACAAGGCCTTCAACGTCCTGAGCGTGGAGGATGTCGCCATCCCCTTTGTAGACTGCGCCTATGGCAAAGACAAGGGTAAGGGCGTTAGCTTTGACTTCAAGTTTGACGGAAAGACAATCTCTGTTCCCATGAGCGAGATGGTCATCAATGCCTTCCCCGACAAGCAGGAGATCTTTGACGATCCTCAAGTCTCTTCCTACTTCAATGATTGGGACAGCGTTTGTATGTTTGGAATCAGCCCTGTCAGTCAGTATGGTCTCACTGGGGGCGTCACTCTTCTTGGAGACACATTCCTGCGTTCTGCCTACGTTGTTTATGACTTGGCAAATGAACAGCTGGGCATCGCTGAGGCGAACCACAATACCGACGAGTCAAACATCGTTGAACTCAAGGAGAAGGACACCAAATTCCCGGATGTCACTGGTGTTGAAGGTAAGCAATTTACTGCATTCGTTTCATTATTGATCAGCTGTCATCTAACTCATTTATAGGCACCTCCAGTTCTGAAGAGGACGACAATGCTGCCGGTCATGTGTCTCCTGCTTCCATGGTGACACTCATCGTGGCTGCGGGTATTGCATTGACTCTCCTGTAAACATGAGAATAGGCCGGCGATGGAGGTTGAAAGCCAGCGTCAGACGCTGGAAGTGAGTTCGCGCATGTACATAGAATTTAAGACACTGGTTTCTTGAAGTGCTGTATTTAAAAATGATACCCATTAATTGAAGATGTGCGGCTGTTGTTGGCATGTCGAGTTTCGTCCTCGGTTCCACAGCAAATTCTGAACGCCTTCAACATCTATATCCCAATCTACAATTACATGGCCTTTGTGTCAACATCTCAGCCCATTTTGTTGTACCGCTCCCGTGCCCTGTCCTGCACCGTGTTCACATATTCAGCATAACTGTTCTTTGTCTTGCGCTCAGCCAATTGCGCTGCGTCGCCAAGATTGCCACCCTCTGCGCCCAACCCAACGCCCTCCTGGTAAGCATTTGTCTCGATGACCTCGGTACGCCCATCTCCGTTGGCTCCAAGACCTGCACCGGTTGACCATCCCATCTTGGCCAGCATACCTGCTCCCTTGGACTGGACGGGCTTCGGAGCGGGCGCGGCCTCTTCCGCCTTTGGACCCGACTTGGGTTTGCCTTGTGGTGCGGTTGTTGGCTTAGTGGGCTGGTTGAAGGCAGCTCGCCTCTCTTTAGCACGATCGCGATATTGTGACGTCGCAGCTGCCGAGTCGGTGTTCTCTTGGGCCTGTTTCTGAAGTCTCTTGTCGCGTGCTGCTAATCTAGGCAATGCCGCTTTGACCTGTTCCTCGTTTTCCATCGCGTTCTTGTGGTTCCGAGATTTTTCATGAATGTTAACTTCATCCACGGATTTGTACTTGCGCATGCAAATCAGGCACATCAATCGATCACGATCGACATAAGAGACTGGTGCATCCCCAGAGACTGAGGTTGCCTGTGTCGTACTGCTGGGAGTACCCGCCTCATCTGGTGAGCCCTGCTTGCTGGGAGCCGCATGCTCTGGAGGACCAAGTTTCTGTGTCCCTGAAAGTGAGATCTTAATAGCACTCTGGGGTTTCGATGAGTCTCCTCCTGAACCTGACAGGTTGATGCGAAGTGGGGTTCGATTCACATCGCTGAACTCAGCCTTGTCCTGTCGTGCCGGTCTAGCATCTTTCTCGACGCGAAGCTCATCCCTCTTGCGCTGCCACATGGCCATTTGGCCCGCCATCATTGGCACAGACTTCTTCGTAGAAGAAGCAGCGAGACTTCCCTCTGCTTTGCGCTTCTTTGACTTCTTATCGTTGCCATCTTCCTCGGTTGTTTTTGAGGCACCTTCACCTCCAGGAGGCTGTTCATTAACAACCTGCGGGCTCGGATACACATGGTAGTCTCGGTAGCGAACACGAAGGCTGGGATTGAACAAGGGTGTGAACGACAGGTGCTCGATTTCCGGTGTAACCTCGCGTTGTTCAGGCAAGAAAACTCCCATATGAGTGCTAGATACTGTCACTGGGCATGCTGCGACAGTAAATGATCGAGATTTGTGAAATTTTGTCATCGCGGCCGATGCGTCTTCCACCGTCCAGAACTCAGCAAACCCATATTTAAAGGACTCGTTCGTGTGCGCGTCACGCATAAGGAAGACTCGATGAAGGGAACCAGGGCGAGCGCCGTAACCTGTCGTGTCACCTGTCGGGGCTGTGGACTTCAGTTTGGGTGCTCCATTAGACGTATCCTTGGTTTGGTTGGGCTTCACAAGCTCTAGTCGCTTCATGTCTTCGGCTAGCATGTCTTCAGTCACAAACGACGCCAAGGGGTAAACAACAAGGATTTGTGCGGGTACATCCGAAGCATCTGCCATGCCTGTGAGGCTCATTTGCCAGGATGGGGCTAGAACTTCAACATTAGCTTCCATTGTTGCTAAAATGTTCGGTCAACTTACCAGCCTGTGGACCGCCACAAATCTTGCATTTGGTTCGGGTAGAATAGTTGGGAAAGTCACACTATCTCGTTAGTGGATGTGTAGCTGAAGCTATGGGAGCAAACCTACAGTAGGACAGATCCAGTCACCACTGGGAACTCCCCGAGCATCAGCTTCGTCGCGTGCATCTCGATTCCGAGCGTAATGGATGTACGCATCGAATCTCCCTTCTGGGACGTCATCAGTGGAATGCGTCATCTCAACAAGAAGCTTTGGATAATGTTCTCTCATAAAAGCAACAGCATGGTCAACTTCCTGGAACTGCACAAACGCTCTGCGATTTCCTGTTCGTGCGTGTCAGCAACAAGAACGTGAAATACCAAGCACATCTTACTGACCCTTGGAAGCGGAAACGCGCACGTCAATCGAGGGGAACTCGGCGGCAACTGAGTTGCTCAGGATACTGTCGCGCAGCTATAGGCGGGGGAATTAGTCTTGAGAACTGGCATCGACTGGTTTCAAGGGATATGTTGCGCCGCTGGTGCCGTTTAATTGAGGACAAATGCATCGGACAACGGCAGCCTTTTGTCCGTCCTCCAGGGCAGTGAGGCTCGAATTCATAGGCCCAGAAGCCCGCATTTGGTTCTTGTAACAATTTGCTTAGACCGATAGGGTACCAACCTCGTTCGACGATATACTGAAAGGCAGGCCTTCAAGAATGACGGTGTCGCTAGGCTTGCCAGCATCTCGCGTTGGGCTGCCGGAGCGACCGCGGTTATGATAGCTTCCAGACGGAGACTGTGATCGTGGATCATCGCCGTCGCGGTACCGTCCTCTGCCACTCCGCTTGTCGCCCTCATGGCGTCGTTGCCCTTGATCGTTGCTGTTGTCTACGTAACCATCATCATACATGCCTCGGTAGTCATGTTCGTCGCGAGAGTTGTAGCGCGCTTCTCGAGATGCGCCGCCTCTTCTTGAGTATCCATCATCGTGACGGCCAGACCGGTTGTCGTGATCGTAGTCGTGGTCCCTTTCGTCATCCCGGTATCGAGAATTTCTCTCTTGAGGATCGTCGCGGAAAGCTTGCTTGGGCGGAGACCTGGAATGATCTCGCCGTCCCGTGGGGAAGTTAGCTATGAGGCTCAAATCATCCATGAAGGTCCTTCTCGAGTTTCCCATCTCTGCCTGAGGCTCGGGTTATGTGTTTACCCTGCCGCGATCGGTAGCCGGCATCTCGGTCTTGAAATTCGTCGCTCATGTTCATCTTCCTTTGCTAGTCGTCCCTCGAGCGATCGGGGGATCGCATTTGGTGGTCGTCGCGCACAGCAGCTTCGGCTAACGCGGTATCCTTTGTCAAGTCAAGGCGATGTCGGATTAAGAAGTGGTTGAATGGGAAAAGGGGGGGAAAGGAAGAGTTTATGAAAATTGTATGAACGAAAGTCAAAAAGTCAAGGCGGCAGGGAGGAACAAGATGTCGAAGTGGGGCTTAGTCATCATGATGTGATGCGCTCATGTGAGCGCCATCACCAGCGAATAACTTGAGCAGGCAATCATAGCTGGAGAAAATGATTAAGTACAGAAATCAGATAGAACAAATTAATGTCTACTATACCTAATAATTTCTATTAGGCCTTCCCCAACCATGAGGGTCTCAAACAGTATGGCTTGATGTCTGGCCCTTATACAAACCAAGCCCACTCTTGACAGAACAACTCCGAGATATAAACTCATTCTTATCTCATCTCTCCTCCAACCTTTGCTTAACTAAAAATGGCAACTCAAGAAAAGGTTCAAGATCTTTGGGAACTATCAGAACAAGACTGCTATGTCGCTCTGACTCACGATCATCTCAATGCCCAGGCCATCATGGACCGGGTGCGCAGCCCCTCAGCTGGCGCAATCGTGCTATTTGCAGGTAATAAACTCTTATCTCTCACAAGTCTCTATTCACAGTGAAACTGACCAAGCCCAGGCACTACCCGCGATAACTTCGCAGGAAAGCCAGTGAAGGAGCTACAATATACAGCTTATCACCCCAGAGCTCTCAAGTCCATGATGGCCATTGCAAAGGACGTTCGCGATAAGCATGGTCTCCGCGGGGTAGCCATGATCCATCGCCTCGGACCTGTACCTATCGCAGAAGAGAGCATCTTAATCGCCGTCTCATCTCCTCATCGACAAGCGGCGTGGCGAGCTGGTGAAGAGGCGTTGGAAGAGTGTAAATCCAAGGTTGAGGTTTGGAAACGTGAGGAGTTTGAAGGTGAGGAGGGGGTATGGAGAGCAAACCGAGACGGAGCTCTCGGACAGCGTGAAGAAAGCTGATGCCATTTTATGCAAATTGGAAATAAACGCAATCTTTAGACAATTCATCTTATTGAAATCATCAACATTCAGACGCTACTATTCTGTCTGGCATGATGGATCGCCTTGCCTCTAAACCACCAACGCTACCATGCTCCGGGCGTCCCACAATCGCCAAACCTAATTCCAATAATACACAGAAACATGTTTCAGCCTTTAGAAACATCACGATTCTATCTTTGGTGTTTACTTCTGGTAGACAGGCGGAGGTTCTCGTATGAGCTCAAGGGGACATCGGGGAGGGTATTTGATGCCGCGGGCTCCACCATACATCACTATCGCTTGTGTAAGTACTAGCGGACGGCCTGAGACAGGAATTTATACATACTGATGTGTCCGTTGTAAGCCTCAGTAAATGTGACATCAATGTTGAGGCCTTGAATATCGATGTCTTCTGTAAATGCCGTAGGATAGACGATGATACCGTATTCAGCATGGAGGACTCTCCAAAACGAAAGAGGAAGTCTGAGCCCAGTTAGTTCAATGCCCATGTATGTGGCAGGTAGTGAATGCGTACTTGTACTGATTGTGTTTAATGCAAGCGTGGACAAACAAGCACACGGTCTCGAGAACCAAGTGCCCATCATTGATAGCATCATCCAGTTCATCAGCTGCGAGGTCATGCACCCGTTGAAGACGCTCCTTGGAGCATTTCATGGCAATTTTCCACCCCTTGGCGATTTTGTCGAGGTCTGTAACTGGCCACGCCTCCATTTTTACTGATTTTGTACCTTCAGTTGGGGATTTTGAGATAGCAAATGGTAAGGTGGTGTAAGTGGTTTTTGTTGTGGTATTTGCACTATCCTCCGCCTACCGAGAGCTTGTGGTAAGTATTTGAAGTGTTGAGAAATGATAAGTAATTGTGAATGAGAATGTTTTGGGTATTGAAAAGTTGAAGATATTTAGTTGTGAGGACCTCTTTGACTCAAATATCCAGTTCCTACCTATTCTTTTCAGGTTCTTCTCACATAATAAGTCAGGAACCATCAAGGTGTCTCCTCCTGCCTCCACGCCATACGCCATCACGGCCATACCTACCTTACCTTAATCATCAATCACTACCTTACCAAGACAGCCTCCAAGGTCCTCATACCTTATTCCACCTTCTCGATTTAAGTTAAAGCCATTCTCCAATCACGATCCTTGAATGTGTGTGCTTCTTGATTAAGCGTGGGTTTCATCATGACTTTGCATGAGGGGGAGGGGCAATCTCGTGAACCCTTCTGGCCACTTCCTCATATTGTCATGTCATCATGCCATGCCAACTCCGATCACGGGGTCTCCACAGGCTTTGTAATTAATAGATAGGTACTATATAGAGGTAGTAGATAGTAGATAGGGTATCGATATTATATAGCTCAGGCTCACTTGCCTACTCATACAGCTCAGGCACCTCCAAAGGTAGGTTGGTATATATATACTAGGTCATCAAAAAGTCAGATCGCTCATGGTATCTCTTCGCTCCGTCTCCATCAAGCCAACACAATCCATAGTATTACAGGCCTCTAAACACATCCACACAATGCTCCATTCTTACAAAGCGTAGTTTTCGGTATGTAAGAAGATCTCTTCAAGCTCATCATCTCCCCAGATCTCCGCCTGGAGTCGGGCAACCGTATTGGCAACACCAACTCTCATAGAGGGTGGGCCACATACGAAAACTGCCGTGCGTCGACCAAGGATGCCTCGTCCATCAGCACCTCCTGTCGCCCATTCCTTCAGCATATAGCCCAGGTCAGGACGACCATACTCAACGCTCCATCCTCCATCGATCTGATGAGGCACAGGAAACGCGAAGCGCATCAGACTCTTTTGAAACTCGGTTGGGGTTTGGGGGAAGCCGAAGTCAAAGCCAGATGGGGGACCAAAAGTTGATGTTGGTCGCGGTCTTCCGGCCTCAGGGTTAGCTGTCCTCAGGTGAGCAAGCTCAGGGGCCCGAACTGGGAATGATTCTTCTTCCGTAGGGAACGACTCTGGAAGTCTTCGAGGAGACCTTGGCGCGTAGTTAAACTGAGGTGGATTATCTTGCTTCATGGGTCTGAAATGGAACTCCGGGTCGTTTTTAATAGGTTCATCGCTGTCACCAAGAGGAATTTTCTTGTCCTCAGGATAACCGTGACCCTCAAGTCTCCTCAGAGCCTCATCTTGGTTGGTAGGAGGTGGTCCCGGAGGAGGAGGAGGGATTGAGTGAGGTTGCAGGTACTTCTGCTGAGGGAGGGCTGTGATACGGTCCTCGTCCTCGGCCCGGAGCTCCCTTTCACGCTCGGGGTCACCCTGAGCCTCGGATTGGATCAGGGCAGAGTTTCTCTTAGAAGCGATGCCCGCAACAAAACCATCGAGCTTGTCATGGAACATATGACTCAAAGCTCGGGGTCCATTGGGGCCACCAGGGCCAACCTGATTGAAGGGTCCTGGTCCTTCCATGCCTGGTCTCGCTCTCACAGCCGATGTTACAAAGAATTTGCAAGTGACGCTCTCGGGGGGAGCGGCCTCGCGACAAATTCGCAGCTCTTCTCTGAACCAATCCATAGCTTCAAGTCGCTTCAGAGCCCAGACGACAACAACCTTTTTGGTGATAGCCTTGCCATCCCTCATTCTCTTGATGAGGTTGAGAAGCTGTGACACAAGGGCGGTGATACCACTGCCGCCGGCAATCAGGATGCAGGTATCGAAGGCAGCTAGATCGCGGCGCATACCGCCATAGGGGCCATCAAGGAACGCGCGGTAGGTATGGAATGGTCCTTTCTCAATGGCAGTATCAAGCACCTTGCGTGTAAATCCACCATAGGGTCTGAATACCAGAGTACAGTCGCGGTATTGTTCGCCGTACTCTGATGGGAAGTCATCGCTGCATAGCGACGAAATGGTGAAAGGATGGTTCTCGAAGATGGAGATACCAGGCATACGAAGATAAACGTATTGGCCAGGCTTCCATTTCATCTGCGTTGGGATCGTAACTTTGATGGCGTTCTCTGCCATAAGAGTAATAGCGGCCTCGTCTCCAACCATGAAAGACACACGCCAAGGCTTGAGCCAGTTAAGCTTGAACAGCCTTATGAAGTAACAGAATGCCCAGATACCTATTGTTGCATAAAGGTAGGCCCACGACATGAGGAAGTTCTTGGTGTGCCAGAAAAGGAGACCAACGTAGACGATTCCCACGGGTACGTGGAGAACCACAAAGATCTCATAGGCTGTCCTCCTAATGAAGGGCAGTGATGCGACACATAGCCAGATAAGGGGTACAAGACAGGCGATGCCAGTACCATAAATGATGCCACTGCCACCGGGAAACAAGCGTTGAAACACCTTCATTCCACCGTCATCCCATACAGGCTGAATATAAAAGGGAATGGCGTGGACGAGGGATAGGAACAGACAGAGGTAGCCTGCCCATCGATGGAAAACATTAAGCCGCTCGGGGCCAATGCCAATGATAGCAGTAAGGATATTTGCCTTCATGCTGGTTGCGATGATCCATGGTGTCAAAGCAATCGCAATCATGCCGGATCGAATCGCCAGGGGAGGTGATCCGAACTGAATGCTCTGCCAGTATAGAGGCTGTTGCAGGAAGCAATAAAGGACGACAAAGGCGAGAGTAATGAAGACAGTAGTAAGAACTGCCAGTGAGGAGAAGGTGATTCGGCGTTTTCCGATCACCAAATCCGGGATAGGACGATAAAAAATCCATCGAAATAGAGCCAAGGTATCGTTGATAATATTAACAGAGGAAAAGTGTGCTTTCGGTCGGAAGTTCTTCTCGCCCATCATGTCATGACCGTCCGGAAAGAAATGCTGGCTCTGGGCACTGCGCATCCCGGACATGGCTTCTACCTCAGCATTGTAGAGGTTTTGGTAGTGCTCCTCGACCTCCTGTTTGTAAATAGCTTGTCGAATCTTGTCCTGCCAGAAGTGCCAGACACGCATAATGAGAACAGTGCTCATCAAGGCGAGGGCAAAATAGGACCATCCTCGACCGTATTTACCAGACTTCTCCCATGGGTCTATCGTATGCGCCTGGACTAAGCCAGGTGGGCTTGTCGGTGTTAGGGGAATGGAAATACGCTTGATGAGGCCGGAGAAGGTCCTTGTGGCCTCCTCCATAGTCTCGCGCATATATGAGTTGGGAGCCATTTCGACCAGCGTTAAAGCTCAGTAAATTTTAGTGGTATTTGGCGACAGAGCGCGGAACAGGCTTTTTAATTCGACATCAACGGCGATTTCGTATATCGTTATGCGTGTGTTTCAAGTAAGACGAGACCAAGGGCATAAGACGGCAACTTGGCTGACTGGTCTATCGAACCCTCAATGGATGGCGATCTGGTGAAATGCGCACAGGTGAAACAGTCAATCGGCTCGAATCGAAGAATTCCAGACTCTCCGATTAGAGGTACAGAGGCAATAACACTGATAAACGAAAGGATGCGAACGCCTTGAACTTAGGGCATTGGGAAGCAGGGTCTTAAGACGGGGAGCTACAGTGGAGTCTAAATGGGCATGCGGCCGAATATATGGCCTCAGGCGATCGATCCTCACCGTCGAGCGGAGAATGGCAGAGCTGCAGAGGTAAGGCTCAGCAACATATCGCAGCTGGTGGGTGGCTCTTGTGACACGGCGGCGGCAAGCATGTCACTACTGTGCAGGCAGACAGGGATAGGAAGAGGTGTAATTCAAGATTGACATGCGGGACGAGTCTGTGCAGAAAACGAGTCAACACAAGGACCAGCGGCTGACGGAGCTCTGATATTGGCCAGCTCATGAAATGCCGTCTCCCAATGAGTGGATCATTCGGCTGTCACACAGCCGCGAGCTGGCGTGGTTGAGAGAAACAGACGCAGGCGGAGTGATGAAGGTGGGTGACATGCAGAATTAAGAGAAAGGTCAATCCATAATGAGAGAAACACGATGGCGGGATGTGGATGTTTTCCGGTTGAGGGACCGGGATGCAGGCTCTAGGTCTGCATGTTGGCCGGGGATCATCATCAACGATGGCTGGGGCATGCCATGCTGTTTCTGTGCTTGAAACTTTGTAAAGAAAAGTTGTTTCTTAGACAAATGCTTCATTGCGTCTTTGCCAAGACTGCTGTGATAATGTGATGAACGCTATAATAGCTTCACAATAAAATAAGACCTAGCGCTTGCTGTACGGGACGAGAAATTAGCATTGTGATAATATGGCTGCCGAATGTTTAAGCTCTCAACGGCTGTTGGCTCATCCACAACCACGGGAAAGATGAGCGTCTGAATAAGGCTCAGGATTGGGTCCTGGAAACTCCCGACACATCTGGCCAAGATGTTCCTGGCACTCGAGCCGTGATCCAAGCACTTGCTTGAGCCATCCGCGTTGGTCTATCCCCCCTCCAAGGACGGATAATTGCTCTTAGAGGCCGCTGATGGATTTGGGGGCTGAATGGTAGTCTAGAGGAGAAGCAACCAGGGTGGAGTCTTCAAGATGTAACGCTGTGATGAGATGCGATAGGCTAACATGATTGGCCGACAGACGCAGTGACGATCCTTGCAGATTTTCGATGGCTTCTTCAACGGGCGGTAACAGGCGAGTTCTGATTCGCTCTTAGAAGTGATTAGCCTTCTAGAGATTTAATCGCATGCGTCCTTCGATTCGTGCACCGCTTCTTTCTTTCAAAGCTTCGAACCTCATTCGAGGATTCCCTTGTTCATATCGGGCATTAAGAATCTCGAAATGGTCGAGAATCATCCGAGCGTAATATGATGGGCCAGGAACGGTTTGCGTCGATGTTGAAAGAGTCTCTAATCATTCGATGATGTATCGAAAATGCCTGAACCAACAGAGAGTCGCACGACATCATCATGGCCGTTAAGCATGTTGGTGATATGTTGCCTCCCATGCACAGTTTCTGCGGACCGCGGCGGGATAAATGCCATGATGTGATGGGACCAACAAAGGATCCAAGCTCCCTGTCAAATTTGCTGTCGCCTTTGCCACGCCTCATGGATACCTCACGATGTAAGTGTCGGATGAGACGGAATATGTTGTTGGTGATGTTGGTTGACTTCTGCTTCTTGTGACTGTCGATCTTGACGGTGTTGTTGGTGATTGAACTTTTGACAGTGGGTAATGTAACGGCAAAAGAGGTCGGCAAGTCCCTTCTCAAGAATAACGAAGAGCATTCTCAATACAGAAGTTGTGACGTCGGAGAGCAAAATTTCAATAGCCACAAGTCTTCTCAATTGCATCAACCTCTCAGCCAATATGGCCAGGAAGTAAACCATCTCCATTGATTATAGGTGGGATAATGAAGTGCAATAACTGGCGCTCGTCAAGTACATCAATAGAGATCAACACTGATGATGATACTCAATTGAGCCAAGCAAAATAGTAGTTTGTCAAATGTAATTGTTGATATCGCGAAGTATCCCAATACAGATATTCTTTGGACAGCTTACCCTGCGTTGGAGCTTGAGGTCAGTCAGCCTTGCACCTGGCAGTCTGTCTGACTGGCCGGAGCTCAACTGAACCCCACCGAGGACCCCACGAGGCTGCGAACATCTCTTCCAACTTTTCATCATCCATTTCTCATATCAACAACCGACCACGGTCGAAATCCAGACTCACAGTAGTTTCTGACCGAGGCTTCAGTTTAACTCACTACTATGGCCTCTATTAAAGGACTCACTCGGACGACTTTCGCCAAGCTGTCGCCTCATCCGTATCTGCTTGCCAGCCTCGATCCCGCCTCTGATGATATCCGCCCAGCTCGAAGCAATGGCCGAGCCCGAAACGAATCTCGCAAGCCAACAGTCAACTTAGCGAGCTTATCACACGCTCATGGGAGTGCTGTTGTTCGCGTCGGCGACACTACCGTCATTTGTGGTGTACGAGGCGAGACTATCTTAACACCCAACATCCCGAATTATCGTGCCTCCAATACCGAGACCGAGTTGAAAGACTACGACCTCCTGGTGCCCAACATTGAGCTTGCTACAGGTTGCGCTCCTCAGTTCCTCCCAGGTGGTCCACCAAGCACTCTTGCCCAGACTCTCAGCACACGGATATACTCCCTTCTTCACAGCTCCAGAATCATCAAGCCTGATGACCTGCGAATATGGCACACACCACCATCTGAAGACCTTGAAGATCGCATGGAAGAGGATGAAGAGGACACAAGCAACGAGAACCGATCCGTTGTGGCTTACTGGGTGCTCTACATTGATATATTTTTCATCTCATTCGATGGAAACCCGTTCGATGCCGCGTGGGCTGCTACAATGGCTGCGCTACGAAACACGAAGCTTCCCGGAGCGCGATACGACATTGACCGAGAGATGATTATCTGCTCCCACAAACAGCCCCGACCTCTCAACATCACGAAAATTCCAATCGCATGCACAGCAGTTGTCTTTACCGGCAAAGAAACTGACCGACCCACTGACGGCAGGTTCTGGCTACTCGTTGACCCAGACAGACTTGAAGAGTCACTTTGCGATGAGAGTGTAACGGTCGTGGTGGATTGCAAGGACGGAGACGTCAAGATCTTGTCCATCTCCAAGCATGGAGGAACTGCCCTGACGCCCCAGTTCCTCACATCAGAGCAATTCCTGGGCTGGGCCTCAAAGCGATGGGAGGAGTTCAACGCGGCCATCACCCAATCATAGATTAATGATACCCCAATAAAAAGAACATCGATCACAATTGCTCACAGCCGTGGCTTTTACCATTATAATCATGAACTAAGTTGGATCAAGAAATGTGTCAAGGCCATTCGACCCACCCTTTCAGACTTTATTCTAGGGCAGGAGATACCGGAAGACAAATTGCTCTACCACTCATAAAGTGAGTAGTAATGAAACTACCACGCCACAAGCAATGTTCCGCCAGAAGAGGTAGACATTGCGTAAAGGGCTGAGCGGATGGTGAGGAAAAAAGAAGAAGAAAAAGAGAGGAAAATCTCGGCCAATCCTTTTTCATTGCTGGGAGTTGAAGTGCACGGGCCAACTGATTTTATTTACTGACCTCCACTCACTGCTTAGCAACCCTGCCCCACCTGAAATCTTCTTCGAACTTCGCGCATCATAAAAAGGCTGATCAACTTCCTCTCCCTTCCTCTCCTTCCATCCTCACAACCTCAACCTCACCATGGAATCCCTCTCAGACACCCTATGGGATGTAGTGATCAGCGGCACTGGGCTACAACAGTCCCTCCTCGCCCTGTAAGCTTTGGATTCCATTGTTGAGATGTTGCCTCGGTCGGACTGACCCAGTCTTCATTCTTGAAGAGCTTTATCGCGTTCGGGCAAGAATATTCTACACGTCGACCCCAACGACTTCTACGGAGGTAGCGAAGCCGCGTTCAGTCTTCAGGAGGCAGATGAGTGGGCTGAGAAGAATCGGTTGACAGAGCCCTCGCAGTTGTTCTCTTCTGCGGAGGTGAAGCGAGATGCGGACGCTTTAGGTGCTACACGATCCTATAGCTTGGCTCTCGCGCCGCAGCTGATACATTCGCGGTCGAAGCTGGTGACTCAGCTCGTCGACTCGAAAGCATTTCGCCAGATCGAATTTCTCGCTGTCGGTTCCTTCTACATCTTCCAGCCACCTTCAGATTCCTCGTCGACACCGTCGCTCAGTCGGATACCATCGACCCGCGAAGATGTCTTCTCCAACAAGTCCATTCCAGCTCGGTCCAAGCGGTCCCTGATGAAGTTCCTCAAGTTTGTGCTTGACTTTGATTCGGAACCTCAAATCGATACATGGCAGGCGCGTGCTGATGAGGAGTTGGCCCAGTTCCTGGCCTCAGAGTTCAAGCTCGATGCTGCACTTCAATCCTATATCATCACACTGACGCTGAGTCATGATGGGAAAATATCGGTCAGAGATGGCTTGACCGCCATCAACCGACATCTGACATCGATGGGTGTTTTCGGTCCTGGCTTTGCTGCAGTCTATCCAAAATGGGGTGGATTGTCAGAGGTGGCTCAAGTGGGCTGCCGTGCTGCTGCGGTCGGTGGTGCAATATATATGCTGGGATCTGGCATAAAGAATCTGAAACGATCTGAGCAACCCGATGCTCCGTTGGAGCTCTCATTCATGAATGATATCGACGTCAAGGCCAAATTGGTGGTCCAAGGCGCCGATGCAGCTGACTCTAGCAGTATTCGAATCAGCAGGCTCACTGTGGTCACAAAGTCAAACTTGTCTCCGGTCTTTGAACTGCTTACTGACGGCGCTCCCACACCCGCTGTCGCAGTGGTGGCATTTCCTTCGGGCACTGTCACCATTGAGGACGAAACTCCGCACGAGTTTCCAGTCTATGCTATGGTACACTCAAGCGACACTGGGGAGTGCCCTTCTGGACAATGTGAGTTGCATCCTATTCTTTCTTTTATTCTCCTTGGTGTTATGATGATTCACATACCGAATACTTATCTACATTGTCTGAATCCTAATGACGATCATTATCTCTGACAACCTGATGCACACCTCATACTTTTCATTATTGTACTTGACACATGATTAAGAGACGATCATGCTAACGAAAGGTCAACAGATGTTATATATCTCAGCACTGTCTATACCACATCGGCGAAATCAGTCCTCAGAAAGGCTCTTTCGTTTCTGATTGCCGCTGTTTCCAATGGTCAAGATGTGTCTTCACCCATCTACCAGGTGTACTACGAACAGAGTGGTGGATCAAACTCTTTGAGCATAGATAGAGACATTGCTACCTTTTCCCTCCCGTCGCTGGGTCTAGCATTCGATGATTCCATCCTTGACTCTGTTCATGAGGCTTGGAAATTGATTAATGCTGACTCGGAGGGCACATCTGCTGATTACATGCAGTTCGAAGATCGAGAGGGTGGAGTGGATGATGATCCCTTCGACTAGATAATATCAATAATAGTAATCATGTGCGAAGTATTTCAAATTTTGTTTCATTGAATATGATGTATCGAGTGCTTGCCCACTGAATGAATATCTTGCTTAAGGACCAGAAATATCGTTGCTGCCTCGTTTCCCATCCCCAAATCAAGATGTATACCGTTGACCATATCCCACATATGCTGTCAATACCTATGTTCCCATTTTGCTTTCATATCAAGTGTTCCCCGAACTTCAAGAATTTGGTGACCGATTACCCTGGAAAATGAAATGGGCAACGCCGCTTGAGATCGTAAAGTCATCGCCAATTAAAAGTCGTTTCTGTCGTAGGCTTCATCGCCATGCGTCTACAACACTCACATGAATGATAGTGTACCAATTGAACCCCCCGGTCCAAAACCAAGTCTAGGCCAGCTCGTCGGCCATGTCGACCTCTTGCTGAGGAAGAGTGAGGCCAATGCGGATGGTGCCGAAGGGCTTTTTGTCGGCAATCCCATCTTGCTCGATGGCAATGGCGTTCTTAGTTGCAAGAACGAGAACATGCATGAAAGCCTCCGATGCGAACTTCTTGGAGTTGGCAGGGTCATCGAGCTCGTCGGTAAGAGTATTGAAATCGATCCAGCGACGGTCAGCTTGGTCGCAAGAACGAGTATATCCTTTGGACTCCACACGAGAAGTGGCATAGCCTAAGAAGTCAAGAGCAGAGGCATCAATGACTGCACCAGAGCCCTGTGTGTGGTCGCCATTGCCGAATTCGACATCACCCATGAAGCCTTCATCGCCGATAGAAGAATCTTGAGAACGGAGCATCGCCAAGTCGTCAGAGCCATGCTGCGGCCCAAGCTGATCACTCCAGCGCTCAATTGGACGAATTGCACTACCGCGGGCATGCAGAGGACTTGGAGCAGGGAATCTTTTATGTGCGCTACCATGTCCCCGAATAGACGAACCAGGTGCAGCAGAGGGAGGACGACTCCAAGGAGCCATGGATGAGGAGTGCCGATCTTCAAGACCCTTTGCTGCATCCATTCTCATCTCAGGGGCAATGTCTTCACCAAACATAATAGCACCCATGTCATAATCAACACCACGCCCAAGCTCGTTGGCATGGTTCACCTTCTGACGGACATTCCGTGCTTCATTCTGCTCGTCTTCGAAAGCTTCAGCAGAAACACGGCGGCGGCTCCGCGTCACAGGTTCTGCATCTTGCTCAGGATTCTTTCCTTGTAGCTGCGCCAAGAGAGCCATACCAGAGAAGTGTTCTGCGAGAGGGTGTGCCGCACCTGAACAAGCTCTACCAATACCCGTAAGCCCATTGTCAAAAAGAAGAGCCTTCGCGTTGTGGCGTGCCTGAGCGACAGTGGTAGCAGGACGGGGTTTGTAGTTGGCCTTCATGTTGTCAAGATAGTTCATAGACCAGCTTCGAATCTCTGTTACAGCGACATGGTCCTTGCCATCGACCATTTGGCGGATTCGACGTCGCCTTTGTCGTCGCAGTGGTGCTTTGGCTTCCTCAGTCGAGACTGATTCAGAGCTGGGCTCGGCCGAGGAAGTGGCTTTTCTGGCAACAAGACGCTTGGGGAAAGGCTCAGCGTCAGGCAAGGCATCTTCACCCATGATGATCACATTGTCCCCTCCAAGGGGCCCATTTTCGACGCCGAGGCCGGCTGCGTTGGCAACTTGAACCTGGAGATGCTCTTCGAATGCCGCCGTCCCAGGAAGGGGAGGGAGTTGTGGTTCCATGTCGCCGAACTCAATGAGGTTGCCGTCCAGGTCAAAGTTGAGGTCAAGACCAGGCATATTTGAAATATCTACACCGAACGGATTGAAGTCCTCCACAGGGTCCTGCGCATGGAAAGGTTTTGCGAAAGGAGAATCGTGGTCAAGATCCGTTGGGAGACGGTAGCTTCGGCCAGAATGCGAAGACTGAGGAATGTCGAAGTTGAGCAGTGAATTGCCCCAACCTGAAGAGCTGGAACCTTGAGCCATGGGAGTCATTTGAGAGACACTGCCCTGTGACGAAAATTTTGTCGATAGAAGAACCAAATCATCAACGCTAGCCAAAAGGTCGAGCTTTGGGATAGTCGACAAAGGATCAAAGGACGGGTCATCCTGCAAGGTGATTTGATGTCGCCTTGGAAGGATATATCAGTACATAGACCTTTGTGAGGCAACAACGGACATCTTACTTTGATTTGCCCGCGTTTGGGTCCGGTTCACTTGTGTCCATAACCCGAAAGAAGGTCATGTCAGATTGTGTCTTTTCAGCGTCTGAGAGCATATAACGGCACTGCTGGGCATAGACCCTAGAGACTCCATAAAGGAGGTTCCCCTGGAGACGTAGAGCTAACGGGGCTCCTGGGTTGATGATGGTCTCGCATGCCTTGGGAACGTTGACTTGTTGAATTGCCTTGCGAGTCAACCGCTTCTGATTAGACTTGCCCACGGTGGCGACGAGCCTGGATTACAAAGTCAGTGAGTAGAATAAGGCGAAAAGAAGACACTAAGATATACCAGATGGTGGCAACCCCATACTGGGTATTGCTGAGGACTGAAGCGATGTTAGCTGTGCCCTAGTTGATGATATATCATGAGGTGACTTACTCTCGTGGCTATAGAACATGCTGCTCCCTGATGCGCCTTGGAATCTCTGAAAGAACCCCCGAAACTTCGACTAATAAGGGCAAAGGCAGGTTATTTAACAAGGAAGTTTCGCTCTTAACTGCCCCATATACTGATGAACCGGCTTGAAGTTGGTCGCGATGCTGTAGTTAGTAGGTGAGGTTGAAAGCTTAGGAGGTGATGATGTAGGGATAGGAGAACGAAATTGGAGGGAGGAGAGAAGGGACGATTTTAGTCGCGTGTGATATTGATCAAGAGAGGCCTATCGCGGAGGCAGTTTCAATGTCTGGCAGCCACTGTCAAGCACCTGGCACTTCAGGCGGCAGCAACTAGGAATTTACAGCACATCTATTGTGCAGGACCCTCTCATTGTCTTTACCAGGTTCTAATTGTTGCCTTGCATTGAGTTATTGGCAGTGATGAATGCCCCCTTCTTTATACCTACCTTGCCTATCTGCCTAACACTCATTTGTTTCCCTCCTTCCTGTTGCAACCATCTTCTCTGAGTAGCTGCACTTGCAACGTCCCCATGTCAGTATCTCAGGATCAGTTAAGGTAGAGAGGCCAATCGACATGGTAACTATTGCTTCGGTTAAAACGATGAGATCATTGATTATTGAAAAGAAAAGAAAAGTAGGTACACGATCTCGAGGTTGTTCATGGGCCGAGGTAGTTGGTGTCTCTTGACTAACATATCTGTACAGCACTCTTTCAATAATGTTTCTTTTCGAGAAGCTACGCACAGACTCTAAGAGTGTTATTTACCTACTTCAGGCCTGAAGTTTATATCGCCTCGACCATGTCGACCCTTGATGCCTCTTGCTAGAGGACTTTGAGATATCAGCTCAGTGGCTATCAGCACTCAGCATATGTTCTGTATTGTAATCTAGATTTAGCAATCAAATCGTCTAGGTTCCGTGGTCTAGTTGGTTATGGCATCTCGTTAACACCGAGAAGGTCCCCGGTTCGATCCCGGGCGGAACCACACTTTTTGTTTGATGGCTGTCCAGCAAAGATGAATATGTCCTTTTTGTTTACCTGCATCACGCTGATCAGCGGGCACAGGATGTTGTCGAGGTTGGGTCCTTCTATTTACAAGTGATGCATTGTAACAATCGAATTGGTTCTATCTAAGGAGCTCTGGGACTCTGTCAATGCCCATGAGCAAAAGCCATGCAGGGAATGCTTGCCAAAAGAAATTTGACTCCATGCAGGAAACCGAGACTCATTTGACGTTGAAAGAACTCAAAAGTCTGGACCACTCCTGACTACTTGTGAGTTGTTCGAAGGCTAGTTCCGCTGGCAATTAAGGCGGCGCAGAGTCCTAGAAGGGCTACGGCAGTCGAGGCGCCAAAGGCATATCTCAAACCATCATAGTAAACCAGACGTGCCTTGAGTTGCACATCGGGAGGTAATTGACGGATGTAGTCAACAGAGTGTCTGATTTGCTCAATAACCTATGTGGGAAAGCACGATTAGCATCCGATCAAGGGCTTTACGACAGAAGTTGGTGATAAGAAAAAGGGCATACTCTCCATTTATCTGGTACCTCACTCAATGCATCCGGCAGACGACCGCTGAGTGTAGTCTGAACGATGGCAGATGTGACTGAAACACCCCAGACGGTTCCTAGCGAGCGGATGAGGTACACTGTCGAGGCCGTGACAGCGTGGTCTGCAAACTTGTCAGCTGGCAATCTTGATCGGCAGAGAATTATATACTTACCGGCGTGGTCGAATGAGGCGAGTGAAGTAAACAGTATACCAGGATAGATAATGCCTTGACCAAGGTTTGCGGGAAAGACATAGACAAAGTACTTCCACTTCGAATCTTGAAACTGGAGTAAGGCCACCAAGCCGTTGCCTAGTACCATGAACAGAGCTCCAGTGCGCACAAGAGCAAGTAGCTTGCCCCAACGAGACATAACCACACCAGCAATAAGACCGCCAATTGGAGTTGCTAGTGAAGGAATTGCAAGTCGAGCACCGGCTGTGGTGGCTGAGTCAAGCAGAACAACCTGAAAGAAAAGTGGAAGCATGAATAGGTACTCGTGAAGGGTTAGTTTGAATCACTAAACCTGGACAACTCGCTGAAACTTACCCCATATGCAGCCATGCCTGCGCAGACGTTTGCACACTGCGTTGCAATTGGTAACCTTCCTTGCAGCAAGCGGAGAGGAATAACTGGGATGGCCCTCGTCTTTTCCTCAACGAAGAGGAAAAGAGAAAACAAGAAAACGCTCCCAATCAAGGCTCCAATCACCCAAGGACTACCCCAGGGAAGCTCGTTTCCTCCCAGGCTGAGTCCCACAAGTTGAACCGAGATAGCTACAACGAGGAGAAGTGACCCAGAGAAGTCGACTCTGTGCCAGACAGTACCTAGATTGCCATCGAGCGAGAAACCCCCAGACTGATCAGAGACGACTAGAGCTCCAATGATCAGAGCCAGGATTGACACTGGCACCTGAAAGAGAAAACACCATCTCCAGCCAATATGGTCGGCAATAGAGCCACCAAAGGAAGCTCCAGAAATAGCCCCAAAGCCATAGATACCGTTCTGAAGAGCCTGATACATGCCGCGCTTTCTAAAAGGAATCATGTCCGAATTGACGATAGTGGCTTTCACATATCAGTGAAAGTGGATTGGAGAGTTTGGAGTCACACTTACCCATTGTCATCAAGCCTCCACCGCCAAAGCCAGTCAATGCTCTCATGACATTGAGAAAGATGATGTTTTTCGCAACACCACATCCAAGACATCCAAAGGCAAAAGTAATAGTCGAAATGAAGAAGCACAACCGTCGTCCAAAGATATCAGATACTCTGCCATAGAGAGGTTGGAACGCTGTGCTAGTGACAAGATACGATGTAGTTAACCATGAAGCTGTGTTTGCGGCATCGAACTCGGAGCTGATGACGGCATAAGTCGCAGCGGTGATCGTACTATCGAGGCCGTAGAGGAAGACATTCGACATAATTGCCAACTGGATCCAGACGAACCCACGAGGAGGTTTCCAACTGTCTTCATCGGGAGCTTGAAGAAGCGGTTGATCCTCGCGAGGCTCCAGGGTATCATTTTCACTGTTGCTTTGCTGTGAAGGGCCCAATGCTTCAGGATCTTGATCTGTGAGAGACGAGTTCCTCATGATGAGACGACTTATTGCGATTGCGATTGGGGACTGTCGATTTCCAATGATACCGGATATTTTCTCAGGTCGTTGAAGTGACAAATGTTGAAATGTTGCCGCTGAAAATGCTTTTTGTATTGCAAAAATTGTGAATAAAAAACCAATCTGATACAACGTGGGGCATCAGACGGGTCGTCGGCCATGACTCAACTTCAAGGAACCAGGAACATTGACGTATTGCAGAGATGAATCGGACTGAATCGATGGTGAAATCTTGCATTGAAATCACGTATTGGCCGATCCAATAAGGGCCGGTAGATCATTACCTTGTTACACAGAGTAAGATCGGTATCTATGGAATTTGGCAAACAATTACCATCTATATAAAGAATATTCATAACTATAAATCTGTATTAGTATAGGAAGCATGGTGTACAGAGTTTAAAGGAGTTATTACTTTGCCACACCTTGACTCAACACTCAAAGATACCTAACGCCTGGGAATTATTTACTTACAACAAAACATTTCATTCTTTCTTTCGATTCACCTTAGGTTGAGAAGCAAGATGGAAATTGATTTAATATTCGCAGCCTCTATGTTCAAACAGGAAACCTGAAGGGCACTTAATAGCTTGAGTCAAGACCTCGGGAGGCCGCCTTTGAAAGAACTCAGCTGGTGATGGTTTGTTGCCTTCAGAATGTGCCTGTCATGCGAGACATTCATTAAGGACAGCAATAAAAGCTTTGGTAATAAAGCCCACCTCAACATGATCTAGACTTGTCCAGATAATCTCATCGACCCTCCCATCTTATAGGCTCGTTGTGTGTCAAACCAGTGCCTAAACTATTGCGCTCACTAAGTTACAGCCCAGACTTAGGAAATTATTGATCGGTCTATGCCTAAATGCATGTGATTTGGAAACCCTGGGAGGAAGGAGCTATTGCAGGTCGAGCTGCAGTCATTGTAAGCCCGCTTTAGGCAGGAACGCAGTCCGCTGCAGCAAACCTCCACTCAAACCAACCATTTATCTTATGGCAAAACGCAACACTCTCACCAAAAGCCAAGAGAATCCCATACCCCGAAAACAGGATTTTTAAGGACCAACTTGGCGCGTTAATGTTGTGGGAAAATTGCGCGAGAGAGACATCAACTGTCGAAGTTCATCTCGTGCCACAACAGTCACGCAACACCATCAACAAATCAGCAAATACGAAGAAAGCATTGCTTTGATACGGGCTTTCCCGGCAACCCTCTCAGAAAGGGAGGTAGCTACTGTGAATAGGACACCACTCACCCTTTCGAATCCAAGGGTCCAACCATCCAACGTAGCCCTACGCTCCCGCCCAAGACCTGCGCCTCGGGAGGAAAGAAAGCCAAGCTCACTCTGACTTTGAATCATAAGATACGGTTCTGGTATAATATAATTTAATGTTAGAGAAATAGCAGTTCATGATGGGTAAGGCTGTTTTATTTATTGACACCTGGTGTCGATTTAATTGACAAACCTCGAGGAACGAAAAGAGTCGACATCTATCATTTTCAACGTTTCCTTTCTATTCCAGCTATGATGCCGAACCAGGTTGTCATGCACCTCGATGCACGTCAGCAGACACTCACCGCCCTCTATCACTATCAGAGCGCAACCTGCATACTTGTGTGACAGGTTGAGCAAGATGTACCTTTGAACTTTGGAACGACGGTCGCGATTTAATACTTCCCGCTCAACACTTCCGTGCGAACCGTGCCGCTTCCCCTGAAGTATGAGTCGCAACTAACTGAATTCAACCGAGGGCCTCGACACCTCGGTGAAATGGGTCCGGACCAGCCGCTTAGAAGCAGACAGATTCCTCTTGTCCCATGAGAGAAAGCGGGGAATATCCAATAGTGCCTCATGAGTACCTGGTGCGTACAATACATAACAACTGAGCTACTAAGAAGATGCGATCTGAAAGTGGCCTTTGATGCCCCGCGGGCTGTTCCTGCATCTGAGATGCGCCAAAAGTCACCAGTTTAGAATTTTATATCTGGTGATCAAGCAAGCCCCCCGCTTTTGATCAACAACTCTTCACACCAAGAGGCTGACTTATAGCATCCATCAATGGGCTCGAAGCAAAGATGAGCAGGACACCACTTCGTCGAGGTCTTCAGCGCCTTCAGACTTCGATGAATGTGGAGAAAGGATGCCAAGCTAAACCTATTCGAAGCTGGGAAGAGGAGGTGGGTGTTGAGCTCCAGCAAGGATAGATGGACTTGGGCGTCACATAGCGTTCTTTGGGAATCCCAAAAGAATAGCCAGGTCTGGCATCATAGGCCGGCCCGACCACGCGGTTCACAGCGGTTAGGAAGATCGGCAACCTTACTGTAAGGAAATAATGGAAGCTGCGTCAACATTCTTGCGACAGGACAGGACAGGGCAAGACGAAACGGAAATTAAAACAAACTTGGCCCTGGAAATGCAAGCTCGACGTCAAATACATCATTCAGCTCCACCACTTGGCACAAGCTCGATCGCCGTCTTGAACAAAACCGGATTCAGATACCGTCAACGCAGCAGTTGTGCAACATTGGCTTCCGTCAGTTACGCTGCTTCTTCTGTTTCTGCCAGGGAACTTCTCATAGCCAAGACAACACCCGCCAGCCGTCTTATCCATTGGCCATCTGGACTTCTGGACTTTTAGGCCTCTCTCTCCCCGCCCTAAAGACTCTCCCCCCTGCACACATAGCCCGATCATGATCCACAGCATACACAACCCCGCCATTCACAGTGGGTAAATGTCCTCCGAGGCCTCGCCGGAAAACTGTCCGTGATACCCCGCTATCACCGTATCGTGTCGAAGCATCCATGGAAGCTCGTTATGCCAACTAAGGAAAACGCCCGAACGTGTCTTCAGGGAAGCTTGCTGACGGTTGTCCCTAATTAGGGATGTCACTGTGCAGCTTCTAGATCCTCTTGTGCACCCTGCATTCGCATTTTGTTGGAGTTGCGGCGGTTGTACAGAGCGCATGCAGGAGAGCTTGTGACACGAATACACACTGGGCGGCATCAACAAGCTTTCTCAACAGTGCCCAGAAGCAAGAGACTTTTGTTCAAGACTTGCATTGAACAGAACGCGTCATGGTGCTTTCGATGGTCCTCCACAGCATCATCGTCGTGTCTTTTCTCACGTGTCCCCGCATCTCAGTCCCCCTTGCAACCTCCACGCCAGAGAAATCCACGCCACGATGCGATACGGCTGCCCAGCCTAGACCTTGGCTCGGGTTGAACCTGGTACTTCTCCGAAGTGCTCCGCTCGCCAATAGGTTTGCTGTACTCTGTACTCCTCCGAGCTGGGCTCTTCACCTCGCTTGCTTGCTTCCCACCATCCTCTCCTGCATACCTGGAAACTCCATGCATGTTTATCCGCGGCTGTGCATCAAACTCCTGGGCATCCTGACCCTCCCTGTCTTACCTAGCTTGGCGTCTTAAACACTGGTTAAAAAGGCCATTATTCTGGCTCTCGCACACTTTCACAGGTCTCACTTATCTTGCCTTCTGACTTCCCACGCACCGTTCAAGCGTCCCAGCCGCCTGCCGTGTGATCCTGTTATTGTCTCGTATCGCTACTTAACCTCAGCGTCCCCAATAGTTCTCTTGGACTGATGCTCGAGCTGTCGTGTGCTAGCCCTCTTCCACTTCGGTCTCAATTGTGCTTCCTCCACCGCAATCTGCCATCATGACGGGCGCTCTCGCAACTCCTCGGTATAGCAACGACGACTTCGAGACAGCTTCTATTCGCTCTGCTGCTCCTTCTTATGGTGAGTAGGCAAAAGTAGTTGCGATTCTTTGTATTCCCCTGGGATAACGGCTCTACTTATACCAGACTGGAGCTCGATGCCAGAGCTCCACTACCTGGCACGAGACCAGCCTTACTGACCTTTTCGTTACCTCAGTATCGGAAGCTCCCTCATACCACTCAACAAATCCATACCCAGAGACTCTGCCATCATACACCCCTCCAGCTCGGTCTCACGCGGTTGCCAGGTCCTCCTTAGTTCCCCAAGGGAGCGGTACCTCAACTCCACGCCAGCAGACTATCGGCTTGCCTCCAGTACCTGCTCTTCCTTTGCGATCCCAACCGAACCTGAACAATTTTCGTATCGCGACATGGTCCTCCGTCTCTAGCAACCCCAACGCCCGGCACTACCAGAATGTCGCGAACCGACGACTGACTGCTCAGCGAGATCCCGTAGACAGCCTTCGTCGAGTCATGACCGATGTCAGCGAGCAAGAACAAGAGCGATACATAACCAGGCCGTTGGAAGATCCCTATCTGGTTGGCGAGGTGGCTGCTGCGCGTGCTCGTACAGAGCGACTTGCACGAGAGTCAGGGGATGATATCCTTCTGCGAGAGGATCGCCAGTGGGACTGGTTCTTAGGTAAGTTGGAAAAAAAAAAAAAAACAAGCTTGTCGAGTGTTGTGTCGCAGCTGTTAACACTGAATTAGCTCGAATGAGAGACTCGGATGACCGGCAGCGGAACTGGACTCCTACAAATCCGTACAGACGTGAGGTGGAGGCTGGGAGCCGAAAGAAGCTGCTCCGCCGTATTGGAGGACGACGCTTGCTATGATCTTGCTTTGTTGATCTCTGCCTTTTTTTCGTTTATTTTGCATCTCTATTGCGCTGGGTCGCTATTGTCATGTCTGCTACGTTGGCTGAAACGACATTGTCGCATTCTCATGGCGTTTTGATGATCTATATTGAGTTGTCGGGATAAGGCATGGCATGCGAGTTGGGGGTTCTCAAATTGTCAAATGCACTCCGATCGATGGCATGAAACGGTCGTCGTGAGCATATTCTTCTCTTCTGTCGCTCATTCTCGAACATAGGGTCGCATAGGGCTTGGTGAACCTGGGCTGGTATTAGGTAGCTCACCCCTCAAATGAAATGAACATTCAAACTCCCTTGAGACGTATTGTGTCAACATGTTGGAGACATCGTGCTAGCATAGACTTTGTGATTATACTCGAAGCTAGATACGGTCAACTTCTCCGCCATTTCTCTACCTGTTTGCAAAAGATATGTTACACGTCCAATAACGCCATGCCCGATGTACATATGATGGTATGCCTCCGTAACTCGATGGCAGCTCAAAACCTCCCCGACGCACAAGTCGACCACTCAACGAAAGGTCGACAGAATAGGTATGTGATTGTTGATTGAATAGGACTTGTCTAACCCTTGCTCTTGCTGTTCAGGAGAAGAGCAACGATGAGTCTACAGGATAGTTAGCATAAGCGAAATACATTGTAGGTTCATCGATGACGTACCCATAGAGACCAAGAACTTCGCCGAAGATAAGGATCAGGACCATGCCAACAAAGATCCTAGACTGTTCCATATAAGCACGAACGCCAGTGTCGCCGACAATTCCGATGCAGTAACCAGCGGCAAGACCAGTCATGCCGACTGCAATACCACATCCGAGATGCAGAAAACCCCTGATACTGTTAGTGTTCGTTTTCGTTGATGAGACTTCGCGTCGACGTACGAAAACAAGCTGTAGTTCTTGCCTGGGTCGAGATCCTCAGCGATGAGGACGGAGATGACTAGTGAGTAAACGGCAATAATACCGGACATGACGACGGGAATGAGACACTGCAGAAGGCGTCAGCGATGGCCTTGATTGAGCCGGAGGACAGTTGTACCTTCATGATGAGGTCTGGTCTAAATGTACCGACACCAGCAATGCCGATGCCAGACTTGGCTGTGCCATAAGCAGCTCCAATACCTATCGGAGTCGTTCAGTATTAGATCTGGGTCATATCGCATCGCGTAGAGAGGGAGGAAGTATCGTACATCCGAAGACCATTGCAGCTGCAATTCCGGCCTACAAACTCGCAGCATCAGCATTCGCGTCCACCCCTGGTTTCAGACCAACAGAAAGGCCAGCGCGGGGATACTCACCATCCCAATAAAGGGGGCAAACTTGGGGGCGAGCTCTGATTCTGCCATGGTGAGGATATGAAGCCGTCGGCGAGCTCTAGTGTCAAGGGCGACGTGAGAGTTGACGTTGATAGCTTGATGATGATGTAGCCTGCTACTGGCCAAGGCTACCAAAGGAGTTGGAAGCTGAGGTAGAAAGCCACATTGGAACGGGTTAATTTGACCAATGACGAGCGAGTGGCTTCGAAACGGGTCACGTGACAGTGACAGCCATTAAGTATCGAAGAATTCGGGACTCGAGAAGTAGTACAAAGAAAGATACCCTCTAATCATTATTAAGAAATATATCTAGGATTACATGATAAAGATAACAGAATTTCTTACTATTTTTGGGCTTGTGATTCCATAAATAAATAAGGTTGTCATATAATTAAAGTACCTGCTAATAATGGGAAATAACAGGCTTCTGCCAGGTATCTTGACTTTATCATCTTCCTCCACTTGGGGAGGGAGCCGATATGGATGGTTTCCAAGTTTTTTCTTTGTCTAGGTAGGTAGGCCGCTATGATTGTTCTCTTTGAACCTTATCCGACCCCTAAAGTCGAGATTAGGTATCCCTTCGAAGCTGCTATGGTATTAGTGAGCTTTGCCCTGTATCATTGAACAAGGCTGAAGGGCCGAGACAGCCGACAATACCTGGTCTTTGGCGGCATTTGATTCCACAGCTCCAGTCACAGAAACATTGAATGCAATCAAAACCAAGCACAACATGGAGATGCTTATCTGCTGATATTGTTTTCGGCAACTCTCGTCAGTAAGATTGCTCGAGTTCAGTCATGACAAACGACAAACAATAGGTAGCAATCAGCAAACACCCGCTGCATAATCAAAGGATGCAGGTTTATGTTAGAAGTAAGAATCAACGGCCACTAGCGTGCCCCTTGGGTCCCTCCAGTTCAACAGGAGGTTTAATTGCCGTAACTCCCGTCTAAGGTGTGACAACGCAACCACTGCATCAATTAACCTTTGAATTGAATTCGACTCACCACAAAGGGTCCATTGCGAACAAAGATCCTGTGCAACGAGTAAACGAGTACACGGGTACAATTGAGCGACGCAAGAGGAGATATGACATGTGCTTGCTACATGAGTGAGGCAGCAGTAACAATAGCTGTAGCAGCATCTGTTCCAGGTATCGGACTGGAGCGTCAACACTACAGTTAGGCGACCAACCTCAGGTCGGACTACGATACACAAACAAAGAGGCTCAACTTCATTGTAACAACTCGAGTTGACGCCTTGAAACAAGGAACTGGCTTTAGTACCAACTAAAGATAAATTACTATTTTAACCTGCTCCTGAATAACTTGTCCCCTTCTCTTTTTCGTATCCACGGCACAACGCCAAAGACCCATGCTCTTACACTGCAACTATATACCCCAGTATATTCATCCCCTGAAATTGTACTAAATAATTTAACTGCCCATAGCCCATCCACTACGGCGCGCCCACATTGCCTGGCCCCCGTCACCACATTCACCTTGACCCCCAAAGAGCGCAGAGGCCGCCATCAGACAGGTGGACTCTCCGGTGGATCTAGCACTGGCGCGTCCGTCGTTGGCTCCTAGACTCCCTGGCCTGTCCTGTTCTGTTCCATCCAGTACCTGGACGTGGATTCCATTGGCTTGGATTGCCTTTACCTCTTTACCTGCGACGAGTCGGGTGCCTGGCCTGGATCGTGAACCTGCAACTGCAACTTCCTCCAAAGTCCATCACCAGAGGGCCACTCCCCCAAGAAAAACCCTCTCGAGACGGCGACCGCCCATTGCCTGCGATCACATTACCTATCGTCGTCCCTCCGCATCCTCGATCGGTCGACGAGCTTCGGCCCAAGGCGAGAGGTTTGCCATTTTGCTCAACCGGCCGCCTTGTCCGACGGCCCCCTCGAGCCCAAAGTTGCAAATTCCGACACGACACTTTGCTTGGGTAGAATTCACCCCCCGATCCCTCATCATCTCTCCCACTGTAACGACGAGCGCTACCTGTGAGGGTCTTCGCAGCGCCAGTATATAACGGACGGTTATCGCTCACGCATATTTCTCAACGTTTATCTCAAGCTTAAGGGGACGTACAGTATTGGCGTCGACTGACGGCGGCGCATCCGTCGAAGTCGGCTGTTGATACGCCAGATAACGAGCTTTTAGCCTTTGGCGCTCAAAACCCTACCAGTAATGCAATTCCCATCCCCAGGTATCACCCCTTTATTGGAAACTCTCCTGACATGCCCTCAATCAAGTTTCCCTTATCATGTCGAACTACGGGTACGATCCTAGAGGAGCTCCTCAAAGGCCGCCGCAAAGGGGCTACGGCGACGACAACAATTACGGTCAACGGGATGCTGCATTCTCCAACATCTTCGGCGCGGCTCCGCCTCCTGGCCGATCCCAAACAATGACTTCGTCCTCCTCGATGCCTCAAAACATGATGGATCCTGGCCGCACTCAGACTATGTCTTCAATGTCTTCTGGTATGCAACGGCAACCACCGCCTCGTGCTCCCCCGGGACATTATGGGGACCCAGCAGCTGGCAGGACTCGAACAATGGATAGCAATAGCATGATGGGGAATGGCTATCATCCAAGTCAACGTTCGGCTTCTGGTGGTCAAATGCCACCTCACTACATGCAACAGCAGCAACATTATCAAGCACGACGTCCGTATCCTGGCCCTGGAGGACCTCCACCTCCTCGAATGGAGCAAAGGGGTCCGCCGCCTCCGCAAGCTCCTGGTGCAAGGACTCCCGCCCAGCGATTCTATCAAGGAGGACCGGCACCTGCAATGAACAATGACCCTTATCGCTCACAGTCACTCGCTTCTGCTCCTCGCCAGCCAATGTATCACCCTCCTCCTAGCGCCTATCAGCAAGCACCAGCAAACCACCTTCGACAAGCCCCGTATGCGCAGCAGAACTCGGCGAGGACGACCGCTCAAGGGCGAGTTGTGCCGGAACGTCATGAAGACCGCACCATGTCGCTGACTGGCAATTACCAACCCCAGAGCATGGACGCCCATCAGACCATGAGCGGTCGAGTCATCCCTAACCGACGAGCACCTACCGAGCTGCCGGCCACTAACGGTTATCCTAATTCGATGCCTCACGCTCCAGGAGCACAGACCCGAACCTCTAGCATGGTTTCGTCCAATGGTGCTGGCGATCATAGTAGGACAATGTCGATGGCCTCTACCGTGGCACCAACCATCACCCCTTCCGAGTCTGATGCTTCTACTTTGGTTCAGCGACCAACCAGAAGCAAGTCGATCGAGAGCGAGCGCCCCCCGACTGCAACGAAGATTCGACCACCCCTCGTATATCCCGCCCTACTATCTCGAGTCGGAGAGTGCTTCCGTCGCAAGATTATTGTTGGTGACCGGACCAAGAACGAACTGACGTACAAAAATGCTTTCAGCGGTTCTGAGGCGGTCGATGTCTTGTCATATATTATTAGGACTACGGATCGTAACCTTGCCCTCCTTCTTGGCCGAGCTCTGGATGCCCAGAAGTTTTTCCACGATGTCACTTACGAGCACCGTCTGCGAGACTCCCAGTCGGAAATGTACCAGTTCAGGGAGACATTGATGGACGAGCCAGAAGATAAGCCTGCAGTCAATGGTGTTTTTGTCCTGCTTTCCGAATGTTATTCTCCAACCTGTACCAGGGATCAACTTTGTTATTCAATTGCCTGCCCTCGACGGTTGGAGCAAGTTTCGAGACTCAACCTTAAGATCAACCCTGGATTACGAAAGGAGGATGCTGTCAATGCTGTCGATGACGAAGCTGATCAGACAGACGAACAGAAACTCTGGATTAACTCCGTTCCCAAGGAAGTTGCTGAGAAGGTCGATGAGCGGGAGAAGAAGAGGCAGGAAGTTATTTCGGAAATCTGTTATACCGAGCGAGATTTCGTTAAGGATTTGGAATATTTACGAGACTTTTGGATTCTGCCTTTACGATCAAAGGCTTCGCCAGTTCCTGTTCAGCGCCGCGAAAAGGTTGTCAAGACCATTTTCAGCAATATTATCGACCACCCCAGTATTCATACCGTCAGCTCCCGGTTTGCGTCTGGACTAACGACTCGACAACAAAAGGAACCTATTGTCCATAATATCGGTGACATTTTCCTTGAGTATGTCCCTCAATTCGAGCCCTTCATTCTGTACGGTTCGAAGCAGTTGGAAGGAAAGTTTGAATTCGAGAACGAAAGATCGGTCAACCCATACTTCGGCAAGTTTGTGGACGAGATTGAAAGGCGCAAGGAGTCGAGAAAACTGGAGTTGAATGGTTATTTGACCAAGCCTACGACCCGTCTGGCACGATACCCCCTACTTTTGGAGAACGTCTTGAAATACACGGAAGATGGCAACCCTGATAAGGAGGACATTCCTAAGGTTCTGGTTATGATTCGAGATATTCTTGGCAGAGTCAACGCAGAGTCCGGAAAGGCTGAAAATCGATTTAACCTCAGGAGGCTTCATGAGCAGCTTCGTTTCAGACCTAATGAGAGGGTTGATCTTCGACTCACAGAAGAGGGACGTGAAATGGTCTTCAAATGCCAGTTCAAGAAGTCGCCCACGGATCCTGCAGAAATTACGGCCTTCCTCTTTGATCACGCCGTTCTTCTTGTTCGCATCAAGCAGACTGGCAAAACTGAAGAGATTAAGGCATACCGACGACCCATTCCTCTGGAGCTTCTCGCCATCAGGGAAATGGACGAAGTCATTCCCAAGGATGGCAACATGAAGCGTACCTCGTCGAGCTTGATTCCTTCAATCCGGAATAACGCCAACGACCCAGCGAGAAAGGAAGGCTGGCCGATTACCTTCCGCCATCTGGGTAAAGCAGGCTACGAGCTGACGCTTTATGCATCTAACCAAGCTGCTCGTCAAAAGTGGCTTGAGTTTATTCATACTGCACAGGAACGCCTTCGATCCCGTGCCGACTTCTTCAACACAACGGTCATTTCAAGCAAATTCTTTGCTGGTACCAACCGCGTCAACTGTGTCACGCCATTTGGTAAGTCCCTTCTGCTTTGTCCGATTCGATCGCTAATATCATGACAGATGGTGGCCGTAAGCTCTTGTACGGTACTGACAACGGTGTTTACCTGTCGGACCGCAAGGTGAAGGATCAAGTGCCCCGTAGGGTATTGGAGACTGCAAGCGTTACTCAGATCGATATTCTGGAAGAGTACCAATTACTCTTGGTCTTGTCTAACAAAACACTCCAGTCTTACCCAGTTTCTGCCCTCAACCCCGATGAGCCCGCATTGTCTAGAAGGCCTAAAAAGATCCAGAACCATTGCAGTTTCTTCAAGACGGGCATCTGTTTGGGCAGGCATCTGGTCTGCTGCGTCAAGTCATCTGCTCTATCTACTACGATCAAGGTCTTTGAGCCTAATGATGCCATGACTAAGGCCAAGAAGCAGAAGGGTATTGGTAAATTCATGAGCGGCGGTCATGATGAGCTCAAGCCATTCAAGGAGTTCTACATTCCCACCGAATCTTCGTCCGTTCACTTCCTCAAGTCCAAACTCTGCGTTGCCTGCGCTCGAGGTTTCGAGGTTGTTTCTCTCGAAACCCTCGAAACACAATCATTGCTCGACCAGGCTGATACGTCACTTGACTTTGTGGCTCGCAAAGAAGGAGTTAAGCCAATCCACATTGAAC